CATTGGCCACGAACAATCGTTAAGTATCGTAAAGCATGGTATCCTGCTCTGACAGTGTCCGTCCTATTCATTGGGGTCACGAAAAAATGAGCTGAGGACTTATTCGCACAAATCTACTGTTACAGCTCCAAGCCAACCGCCCCTTTAAACGAAATGAAAGGTACTCCAACATTTGTTATATCATTTTTCGTATGTAGTCACTAGTAATAAGTTACTGAAAAAATAATCTTTGTTTAGGTCAAAATTAAGCATGAGCAGGCATTAAATCTATTCGTCTTTTAATTTTTGGTCAATTTAGTATAACTCCTTAATGCAGTGATAATAAATGTCTCTGACAATAACACTGACTTCAAAGACTTGAACATCTTCCTCAAGACAATTATGAGCATTTGCACAATTAAAAAAATCCGAAAGCCAAGTCGATCATAGAAACGCAGATTTTGACACATTTAAAGAAAAGTTAACAAATTTGAATGCAACAAAATGAGATAAAAAGCAACAAAAGGCAACATCACCGTGATTGTGATATACGAAGCCCAAATTCTCAGCATGTGCACTAAAATCAGGATGAATTTGGTTGGCTATGACAAAACGCTTTTATCAGTTTTATAGCCATTAATAATACAGAATTTCAATTTGCTTTGCACAGCATCTAACAAGTGAGGTAGTGAAAGGCTTACAAAGCTCTGAGTATGTTTAGAGAAGGTGGAATATTTCTTAGCTGGGCAAAATAGTCCTCATAGACTTTCTATCAAGCTCGAGACTGGCATGAACAATAATCCGGAATAAGAACTTAGAAATCATAATAGCCTCTAAAACAATATTCGGGTAATTTAAGCCGACTTCCTGCTTTAGAGCTAGTATATGCTTTATACCTTAATCTACACAACCACGCAAAGTAGTTCACGTAATCTGTGATAAGCAGTCATTTTACTACAGGGTTATGTTTATGCATACAAGAGGGGCCAAAATGACTCCGGTCAGAGACTTTCGTCATTTTAAGCCAAGCACTGACACTCACTCTGGTGCACTGGAATCCGAGAAGGTTGAAAAGTCCGTGGTGGTCGTGAAAAGTAGCGAGTCGTCCAAACTGCCCCTACGCGCAGAGGAAAGCGTCGAGTTCCAGCCAGTCGCATCCAATGCATCTACACTCCAGCCGCCTTCGTCCTCTTCCTCCTCTTCTGCTTTATTGTTATCGTCTTCGCAATGGCCATCTATCAAAGTACACGATTCTGGAGCTCTGCTGGCGTCAACTGAGGTGGGCCGCCTGGAGGACGCTTCCTCGCCTTGTGGTAAATTGTTAATCGCAGTACGTTGGAGAACAGACGCCTTCGTAGAAGCTGCCGTCTGGCCGACTCCACTCAGTTCCTCTCTTTCCTGTAGACCAGGTAACCATGACGTCTGACAATTAGTAAATCCTGGGCCGACCAAGCTGGCAGTAAAACCGGCCAAGGTCGGCTGTCCGAGACTTCTGGAATCCGGAGCTCGATAGATGGCTGAAGTACCTCGCAAGCCAACGATACCAGTTCCCGTGCCGGAATTGCACAAGCCCTGGGATCCTGCTACCAGTTGGCCAGTAGTGAGTAGGCTAGAGTCATCTTCTGCGTCGCTGAAACTGACTTCGAGTGCCAGAGCTTCTCTATCCTGATCGTGGCCGTCGCCAGTGGTGGCAATGTTGGAAGCGTTAGAATGACCAGGTGGTAGGTTGCGAGGTCCCACTCGGGCAAACCGGGCTAGGGAGGGTTCTGGGCCTAAAGACAGAGAGTATTGCCGTAGAGAAGGATGGTTACTAAACGAAGCGTATTACCATCAATGAACCAGACTAAGCAGAAAATGTCACAGAGAAAGTCCTTGAAGAATTTGAGTAAAGGCTTGCCTAAATCTCAAGTATATACGAAGAAAATTAAGATTTCGATGAAACCCTTGGCTCAAAATTGCGGAGCATTTGGATGAAAGTAATGAAAGTGATTCGAAGGTCGATCCCACTAGAAGACAATGATGGATTCCTATTGGCCAGTTGTTGTTTGGCTTTATTTTAAAAAATCTGGTTGACGCAAGCATAGAGGCAATATGCTATGCTTTCGGTGAAAATATGCTCAGCTTTTGTCTGTCACATGACGGGAAACAGAACAACCAAATTCATGTTGAGTCAGGAAAACTCATTGACTTATCCTTATAAACTCTACATACAGTTAAGTTGATCAGTTATTCATGCGTGTGTGTGTGTGTGTGTTTGTGTGTATGAACTTAAACGTTTATAAAGTGTGGTATTATCAAAACCATGACCAACAAAGGATCAGTTAAGTTGCCTGCTTTTCCAGACGACTCAACACCTTCTCTATCCTTAGGTCTATCAATTTAGCATAAGTAGGTCATAATTAACTTCCTACCGATATCCCTCTTATTAAATATATCCCTTAATAAGCTGGTATCAATTGCCTCTATGATTTTGCGCTTAACTGCAAAAATAACATAATCAGCAAAATAACCAGTCTATCTCATGTCCAGTTTCTGCCGTGTGTTCAGCTATCTTTGATTATTGAACTCAACAGCCTCTATAGGCACCTTTGTGTTCAGCCACACTTTGTCAAAGCGTTAAAGAGAAAATGCCAGACAACAAAATCAGGACACGAGAATGAGTTTGTGCTATTCCTCTTCTA